TGATGTTATTTATTATCTCGCAACATTATGGTTGTGTACTGACAGCTGATCAACTCACCTACTTATCAATCCAGACTTTGTATATTATTCGTCACTGATTGGGTTACACGATCTGCAGATCACCGTGAGACCCCGGATCTCATGGGACCTAGTAGTTAGTGTTAAGCACACGTGTAGCATTTAAAAGTTAATTGGAATTGTAAAAATTATATTCTTATAGCTGCCAGATCAAAGTTAAATTTATAATATCTGTGCACGAGACCGACTGGCGTGCGAATAGAATTTTTATTGATAACAGTAAATTATTTGCAAATAAACTCAGCTGACCCAGAATTCTCGCGCACTAAATTAGATTTATCAGAGGCATGAAGTCTCCGGTAAAATTTGTTGCGTTTGTGTTAAGATTTTAGATTTGATTAATATGAATAAGTTCTTTACGATTATCTATAATGTAATTTGATAACCGGTATTGTAAACCAGTATTTTAATGTAAAACTGCTATTTTTAATTTGCAATGATGCAAGTGCGAAGAACACTGCCATCTCCACGGAACTACCGCTGTAAAGAGGTTTGTAGTTCATAGTAAAATTCTTGACCGTATTATTTTCATCCCTTCAACCGTACCAATATGATGATGTTAAGATTAGTTCATACTATATAGCTCTATAGGTCAAAGTTCTGTCCTAACCAGTCGTCCTTGTTAATCGCCTTCCGTCCTCATACAACCGCCGCCGCCTTACTTAGGGTAAGTAATTTTTATATGTATTAAATTGAATGTGCTTTTAATAAAAAAGTAAATATACTTAAAATGTGTGCCTATTTTGATATTTTATCCCTAGCAGACGAAATAATTTTTTTGCGCTTTGCAAAAGCTTAGAAATGTTTAAACTTGGAAGACGTCAGTACAGCTCAAGGCTGGTCATAGTCACACTCACAGTTATGAACAGTTTATAAATAGAAACAGCGGAAAAAGGATTATTGCATTAAACCAGCAGGTAATGGTATCTTTCAAATTACATGTTTCATTTGGTGTCATTCAATCAAGGCTAAGGGTCTGCCCACACTACACCTCTATTCCCCGAAGGTCTGCCCACACTACGCCATGTGGTGACGGGCCACATCCGTGCCAGGTACGCAAATCCTGGTGCGCAAAAATCCTGGTACACAAAAAACATCTACTTTGGCAATATTTCCAGCTAAATTTCTATTTGATCTTTACAGTTCGAAGCTTTCGCGACTAGCGATGTAGTAGGACTAGCGATGTAGTCATTATTCTACAAAGAATATTCATCCTGTTTATTTCAATATAGTTTTTCTAAAAAAGTAATATTTAGATATTAAACGGAGAATTGTTTGCTGCTCACTAATGTTATGAGTCTGATAAAAATGAAAATTGTGACGCGCCTTGTGGTTCATCAGAATCTCATGATATCATGGTCTTAGTTTAAGGACCTGAGTCAGAGCCTAGAGGTTCACTGAGACCGGGGGAGAGAAAGCCTTGTGCAAAATGATCTAACACTTTAGGTGGATATCTTCATATCTATTGTGAATAACGTAATTCTTGTATAATAGCTGTGCAACTGTAAAGTGTCTGATGGAGGGTGAGGGGGTCTAAAACGGCCGAGAGTTACTTACTTTGGTTACTTTGGTTGAGGTTATCCTCGTAGCAGGAGGGGTCATCAGATTTCTGATCTGACCACCTCGATGGCGAGTAGTCTACCAGGGAATTAGACCAGCTGCAGCTATAACCGGAAATCGGAGGGTTGTCCGGTATCAAAGGAATAAACTTGGACAAACTAACTTTAAACGACACAACGTAGCTTCAGCTTTAATACTTCAGCTTTAATACTGTCAGTTCCATAGTTTTGGTCCTCTTACAGCAGATGAGCTATCATAGAGTGTCTTGTTGCTCAAGGCACTCAACCTAGACAGGGAAGGGATGATTGCTCGGGTACCATGTCTGTTCCAAAAGCTGGATCTCAGTCACCTTAACAGGGTCCCACAGCGGACAACAGTACTCTAGTAGGCTTCTGACCAAAGACTTATATAGAGTAGTCATTACGGTCCTATCACGTATTTTGATCTGTTTGGACCAGTTCGGTTCGCTTGATACCATAACTCCGAGGTCCCTGACGTTCTCAACGGGATGTAGTATAGTAGAGGCTCTTACGGGCAAAAAGACGTGTTTTCTGCTACGAGTTTAGAGACCTAACCGCTAATTGAACACAATAGTATGATGTCTAAGGATCGATAATATGTTAAGAAGTATAAATTTGGCCTTATTAGTCACGTGCTATACCAATGCGCGTTTTAAACTTTGACAGTCTATTACTCTAAGGCAAATAAAGTAATTATATCCATATTTTGTCAGCAATAAGATCACATTATTTTCTATTTAGTGTGAAAATATGAGCTAGAACGGACATAATCTCGCTGAGTTATAGCTGTTTGAAATTTATGATGAACGCGCGGGTGCCAATTGATAACAACTAAATGCTTTTGCGCGTAGTGCGCGTCGAAAATTTGGCAAAAACGCTTGCGGAGTGACAATATTCAAACTTCGATTAAGTATATGAAGTGGGTACTTCTCGGAAAGGAAAAATTTAGGCAAACACGATGTGACTATTTTTGGGTTGATTTAATACAACTGCAAAAAATTATTCAAACTTAAAGCAAAAAAGTCAAAATTTTTACCACTTTTTTGGATTTTTACCTCAGAACAAATAGAGGGATTTGTTTTATTTTTATACAATCTTGTGCGGCTGTCTTTTAGCTATCTTTATGCAAGTTTTGCCGACATGCCAACAAAATTAACTTGCTCAAAATATCAAAAAACATGGTTTTTTGGCCTATTTTTGGCCCAAAAATCGGTTTTTTTGCGATTTTACCCCAGAACAATCAGTCCAATCATCTTGAAACCACTTTCAATCGATTCTACGGTCAAAAATACGTCTAGTAAGGTGTATCTGGGGTCCCTATCGTATCGAGCAGACAATGCCCGTAAGAGCCTCTACTAGTATGTTCTCGCTGGAAACCTTGTAAAGTAGAGTTTCCACGTAAAAAGGGAGTTCAGAAACGTGGCTCTTTCTGTTGTGGAGACGATTCAGGAGCTCAAACTTCTGTTCGTGGAGCTAAATGTTGTTGCAGCGTGACTAGTCGAGAATACCGTACAGATCAGCCTGAAGCAGCAGACAGTCCTCAAAGCAATCGATACATTTGGAGACCCTAGTTTCGTCAGCAAAGAAGCTTACCTTAGAAGAGGTAACAGCTAGCTCTAGATCGTTAATAAACAAAATGAACAATAGTGGTCCTAACACACTTCCCTGAGGGACACCACTTAGAACCCTGGCACTGTCCGAATGAACTTAGAAGTTTGCCGTGAAATCCGTATCTCTTTAACCTAAACAAAAGTAGGTCCAAGTCAACTTTGTTGAAAGCCTTGGCAAAATCGAAGTAAATGGAGTCTGTGTATTTCCCCTGAGTAAATCCTTCAAAGATGTCGTCAAAGTGATCGAGCATTTGGGTCAAACAGCTTCTGTTCGATCTGAAGCGGCCATGTTTGTCGGATAACAAATTGTTGGTTTCGAGATGCTGAACCATGTGTTTCCTAACCACTCTTTCATAGACTTTGACTACATGTGAGCTCAGAGTAACCGGTCTGTAGTTAGCAGCATCACACCTGCTACTTTTCTTGAAAAGCGGTGTGACATATCCAGTCTTGTAGAAACTTGGGACGATGCCTGTATACATGGACTCAGACCAGAGGAGATGAATCGGAACACTCAAGCTTGAAGCACATCTTTTGAGGAGGATAGCAGAAATACCATCAGGCCCCGGTGAAGAGTCCAGCTTAATCTCAGATATAGCTTCCATGATGTGGTTAGGTGTGAGTACCAGTTCTGTATCCCTACTAGTGAGAGGTGGCACTGTAAAATGTAAATGTAGGTAGTGACTTATCCGGGCAGTTTAGGAAAGGATTTAGCGTAATCAAGTAAAAGTATTTATGATTGACTCTAATTTTATCCACTGCTCTCTTTTCACCTTGATCAAGATGGTGGACTATAGCTTCCTTGATCTCATAGCAAATTAATCCAATCTCGTCTTCAAGTTTCTTGATTCGAGCTAGGTCATTGGCACACTTTGCCATTAATACTTTATGAAGGCCACGGGTGCTATGCGACAAAAGTTGCGGGCAACGATTTCCTGAAGGCTAGTGAAAATCCCGTGATAATCAGATGTTCGCAAACAGAGCTAGACGCTGTGTCCTAACTGCAGTCGCATACCACCCACTCGTCCGGGTCGCAAACAACCCATCAAGTTTAACCACGTCATTAATAGATTAATTATCAGTACCAATATCATGCGGTTCCACCATCAGTTAAGTAAGCGTAACAGTTGGTGTAACTTCACTGAAAGACTCAACATTTCACGCACTCGTGGGTCTTAATCCCACAAAAACCACGATGGCTAACCACTATAGGTCCAATGAGATCCGGGGTCTCACGGTGATCTGCCTTTCAGACATAGATTGGGTTAACGAGGTGTCGCACGTCACCTCAAGATCAGGTAACAGGGAGCTGACCAGGCCAGAACCCAATTGATTGGGTCTGATGTCACGTGATTATGAGCCTGAGGTCACGTGACTATGACGTCATCAGAGCTTGTTTTCCGCTCATTGGACCAGGTGAGCTCACATGCTTGTGAATGTGGAATGTGAATGCGGAATTTGAGTGTATGCCAATGTGTACTTAAAAAGTATGATATAGAAAACAAAATGTAGTCAACGTAAATAAAACGTGGTCAACGTAAATAAAACAACGTGAATAAAACAACCTAAATAAAACAACGTAAATAAAACAGCCTAAATAAATCAATGTAAATGAAATAACGTAAATGAAATAACGTAAATAAAACAACGTAAATAAAACAAGTGTCTACGTCGCGTAATAAGATCATATTTTCAAGCTTAAGATGATCTATAAGGTGGAATTTGCGATTCTATGGTTAATGTCAGACTTGTCAGTCTGCGAGCCAAGATTTTTACTGCACCTCCAGGGATCGATTGGAAGTCAGTTCCCTGTTACCTGAAGTGCAAGACGAAAAGTGAGTTATCGAGGATTATATGCGATTGTTCAGGGATATATGCATTCTTCAGAGCGGACTGTAATACAGGGAATACAGTATTCGTCCTAACTTCATTTATAGATTTTGCACATTTATTTATAATGTAATTTTACTCCCTCCAATAAATCTATCGTACCCTGCCACGTAGCCTAAGTCAGTCTTGTAAATAGCTACTATGAACTAAAAAGTTTCTTGCAACGCGTGATCCTGATGACTAGGATAAAAATAAACGCTCGGTATATTCAATGAAATAAAATCTTTAGGTGGGCTGATAAATAACGAAATTAACCTGGGTCGGGTAAACTGATCGACTAAATAGAGCGTGAAGGGTAAAGGAACATTAAACATAAAGAATAATGATTCGGCGGAATGACGATATATATTAATATATATTTATACATAGTATATACATATATACAACTACATATGAGGGAAAGCTTCTGTAGAACCACAAAAACTTGCCTCTTTACTGTGTATACGTAGGGCTGTGTGCATGTTTGATGTTGTCCAACACCATCGCCATCTCTGAGGCTTGAGCTCGTATGATTGCAGACCACAATTTCGATTTTATGTATGCCAAGAGAGCCTTCGTCCATTGGTACGTAACAGAAGGTATGGAGGAGGGGAGTGCTCTGAGGTTAGGGAGGATCTGGCTGCTCTGGAGAAAAACTACGAAGAGGTTGGAGTCGACTCTTTTGACGGTGAAGGTGAAGAAGATGGAGAGTACTAAAAACCCTGAAGAACTTCTGAACCACTGTTTCTGAAAAAAAAATCTGTAAAAATTTCTGTAAAATTGTTATGAATTTATAGATCATTTGGCTTGAAAATATGATCTTACGCGACATAGAAAGGATTTTCTGCAGCTGGAACTCCTATATTGTTTTATTTACGTTGTTTTATTTACATTGTTTTATTTACGTTGTTTTATTTACGTTTTTTTATTTACGTTTTTTATTTATGTTGTTCTATTTACGTTATTTTATTTACGTTGTTTTATTTACGTTATTTTATTTACGTTGTTTTATTCACGTTGTTTTATTTACGTCTGCTAAGCTAGGGATGAAATATCAAAATAGGCACACATTTTAAGTATATTTACTTTTTTATTAAAAGCACATTCAATTTAATACATATAAAAAATTACTCAACTTGCTTGATTCTGCACTAGTTTGATCTTACACCCGAAATTGAACCGGAGAATCGACTTAAAATATACTAAAATTTTCAGAAATATGTTAAGATTTCCCTGATATAAATGATTTAACACAAATTTGTATTATTGATATTCTTATACTAGTTTGTAAAATAATATGTACATTATTAATGATAATATGATAACATATTAATTGTTTCATTTTTATCAAGTTGTAAGTGAGTGGTAAAACGTCATGACGATAACGATCATCATTTTCACGACCCTACTGTGGTCATCAGTCAAAGCTGGTAACATTTTATTATTTATATTGTAAAATTTTTACTAGTCAGTGGTGATTACCACACACAGCTCACCGCCATCATCGAAGCTTGCAAATATCTCTCAACTTATAACAACACACACATCATCATATGGTCTGACAGTCTCTCATCCATACAAGCTATATCCTCGATCTTAACGAGGAGTGGAACTACTAGAGACTGTTATGACATCCTCAATACACTCGGATCCACTAACACCTTAGAGATCAAATGGATAGCTGCACATATCGGATTGTGGGGTAATGAAAAAGCAGATGAGCTGGCCAAGATTGGTAGAACCAGTGAATCCACTTTGAACTGCCCAATTCCACAATCTTACATCAAACGCCTGATCGACGACAAAGTCACTAGACTAAATCAGGAAACCTGGTTAACTGATGGACCCAGACACACCAAACTGACACTCGGTCACAAAAACATCAACATCATCAAAAATCTTAACACTACACTCAGCAACAACAGACAAAATTACAGAACTGCAGTGCACCTCATCACAGGACATTGTGGCTTAAACAAACACCTCCATACCATCCGCAAATCAAGCACCAGCGCTTGTCCGATGTGCGGCGACGGAGAGGAAACTATCTCACTCTTTCTAGGACAGTGTCCGGCTATTGCCCAAATAAGAGGTCAATATTTCCAGGACTATTACCTCTCCGTTAATGACATATTCGACAACCAACACATCTCCACTATTGTCAACTTCACAAACCACACAAAACGCTTAATTGTGCCAGAGGAGCTGGACCAGACTGGTGTAACATAGCGACTACTTACACATCGTCTTAGCTCACCTTTCCCTTCCACGCCCAGCTGCCACTTAAGCGTACATACACGACACATCTTACAACACTTACCATCATCCTACATCACATACTAGGACTGTCATGCCCAAGAGGTAGGCAAAGCATCCACATGCTATCCTCTTGTGGGCCACCCAGTCCCAGCCTCTCTATAAAAAAAGAAAGATAAACACCCTCGATTAATTTGTAACCTTCTACGATGTTCACAGCTGAAGATATTTGACAAACAAGAAAGATGGTAAAAAGTGGCAAAAGTAGCAAAAAGTGGCCTTAAGACATGTGGAAAATTTTGGAAAAGTTAATCAGTCTAATTTTATCTAAAACTTTTCAAACAATACATAATCATACAGAATTGAATGCTTCTAAATAAACCCAGTTATAAAAGGAAAAAACCGATATAGCCCTAATTTTCACTATCCCAGAATATCGAAACCCAAATTATGTATTGAGAGAGGGGTAACCAAAACACGGTAGTGTGCAGTAAATACCACACCCGCAATAACATTGGGCCCTAGCAACAATTAATTAATCAATGAATCAAAACATATAATATTGTACTTATAGAAAATCTCTTGGTGGCAAGAGATTATTTATAATCTCAGGGAATAGTGATCGTGAAGGCAGTGAAGCCAATAACCTCTCCTATTCCAATGACCATAGTGCGTGATGAAGAATCACATCCTTAACTTAAGTATGGTGGAAGTGCTCTTGTTGGCCAACTAGAGCTACTGTTTAAAAAGGTATGGGAGGAAGAGGTGATCCCTGAGGATTGGCTTAAAGGTGTTATAGTGGTTATCGGAAAGAAGGGAGACACCTCATACTGCTGCAATAATAGGGGTATAACTCTTAGGGCAACGTCTTCTAAGGTTCTTCAAATGGTTCTTCTTAAGAGGCTGGATGTTGGAATGGAGTGTCTTCTTAGGGAAAATCAGTGTGGGTTCAGACGGAACCGCTCATGTATTGATCAGATTTATTCCATCCGCACCATTATTCACAACTGCATTGAGTTTAACATTCCACTTTATGTTAATTTCATTGATTTTAAGGCAGCGTTTGATTCCATCAGAAGAGAGTTTATTTGGTCAAGCATGAGACACTATGGACTTCCTGAGAAATATGTTAGAATCTTTCAGGCATTCTTCAACGGAACCATGAGTGCTGTCAGGGTTAATGGTGAAATGTCTGATTGGTTCTCTGTTAATTCGGGCACTGGACAGGGTGATATCCAGGGCCCCCCTGTATTTAATTTTTGTCTGAACTTTGGAATCTTTTTGGCCGAGGTTCACAAGGCAATCAGTCATGGTGCTGTACTGCAAAAGGAACTAAAGGGTGCAGATGAAAAAGTTATCATGGACAGTGACTACGCTGATGATCTGGCAGTGATGGACAATACTGAAGAAGGGCTGCAAGAGTCCACTGATCTTATAGCTTATTACACCTCTTATGCTGGGTTGAAGATCAACGCTAAAAAGACACAATGCATGGCGATCAGCAAGTGTGCGTCCCAGCGACCTTACACCGAAAGAGACAGTATAAAGCTAACAGTGGAGGGAGAACCTGTTGAACAGGTCAGCAACTTTGTTTATCTTGGTGCCAACATCAGTGGGGATGGTACCATTGACCGAGATCTTGACATCAGGATCCAGCGTGCTAATGGTGCGTTCCATCAGCTTTGGAAGATATGGAACAGTCGAACTATAAGAACGCCCACCAAGATCCGTATCTACAAGGCTGCTGTTATTACTATTCTGTTATATGGAGCCGAAGTGTGGAACACAACAAAGAAGCAGATGAAACGGTTTGAGGTCTTCCATCTGACCTCCCTGAGAAGAATCTTGAAGATAAAGTGGTTCTTCCATGTCTCCAATGAAGAAGTTCTCAGGCGTGCTGGAATTAAGTCTATCGAAACTTTCATCGGTGCGGCTAGACTAAGGTGGTACGGACATGTTGTCAGAATGCCAGAGACGCGGTTTCCCAATTTCTTACTGGATTGGAAACCAAACTATGGAAAGAGACTGAGAGGACGACCCCGCAAAGGCTGGATGGCCTGTGTACTCGAGGATGCGGCTGAATTTACAGGTGTCGATAACATCAGCAGAGATGCAGTAAAACAGTTGGCTCTAAAGCGAGTGGAATGGAGGAACATGTTACGCCGTAGAAGAGATGTGTGTGATGCAGGCCACTCCAACGACTAGGAGGAGACCTCTTCATGTAGCATGTATGTAACTTATAGAAAATATAAAACTCTCAAGGCTCCTTCTCCGAGCTAATGACTCTAAAGTTCCTGATTACGTGAACTTTGTCCGGCTCTGCTGTCCTTTTATTGAGTAGCTGGACGACAACTTTCTTGTAGGCTATTCTGTCTGCAGCTGATCTATCAGGAGTTATGTAAACAGAAGTAAACCCGTCTACATGTCTTAATAAATTAGTCTTGTTCAAGATGGTACGAGCTTGATCTGAGCTTGACAAAGTGAATTTAACTGGTCTGACTCGTTCACTTGTGTCCTTTCCAACTCTATTACATCTCAAAATTTTTGGTTTTTCGTTGAGATGGTCCAACAAAATACCAGATACCTTAGCATCCAAGTTCTCCTCAGTCTCTGGGATCCCAAATATAATCAGACTTTTACTTCGATCTTCTTCTAGGGCAACCCTTTTCACTGCAGCTTGGATTTTCTTCGGTGCAAAGGCGTTTTTGCACGTGTTTTTCAACAGAGACGAAAAGGTCTTAATCTCTTTCTGAGCTGCACTTTTCACAGTTCCAATCTCGTCATCCTTCTTCAAAGCTAACTTCTCCTGCAGATCACTGATTTTTGTCATATCTTCTTCTTGCTTAGAGAGTAACTTCTCTTGCAGTTCTATGATCTTATTCGCATCTACTATTTTTTCTTTCCTGAACACCCTGTTGTCGGTAGCTGTTTCTGTGGCAGATTGTAACAATGGACCACAATAATCGTTCAGCAAACAGCACACTGTCTCTAGCCATTCTGATAACCTCTCTCTAGGCACACTTCTCTGGTTCAGTTTGTCAAATTGCACATCATCGTTGTGTTCGGCACCGATTTTACTTCTAATCTCCTTGAAAATACTGTTAGTTGCCATGTGTATCTGATTCACATACTCCGTAAGGAACTGGCCATTCATAACCATAGCATCATCTAGCATATCCAAGTGTTCATTCTGTAGCGGCAAAGGCATCGTACACGTTGTACAGAAAATGTACAAACAATGTATACAAATCTACAAAGCCAGAGAGATAATTCAACGCGCACACAAAACTGCTGATAAGAGAGCTACAATTTAGCAACGAATGTAAAAGTGTAATAACGTCATAAATCCTTTGAAACTTCTTGTGTCGGTAGATCGATTTTTCCAGACGATCTGTAGCTGTACTATAGTACTATCTTTGCACTCTGCACTGCCAATGTCCATATCACGCAAAATATAGACCTTATAAGGTAATCGTGACGTCACCTTTTCCATGACAGTTGGCACGAGTACTGAGTACACTGTGCCTGCAGTCACGTGAGGCACGGATTTTTAGCTAGGCGGGGCTTTTGAAAAGCCGTGCGCGACGTGCCTAATGAGTTGTCACGTATCGTTGGCACGCGCTATAAACACAATATGTACCTATGGTCATTACATCTGACCGCACCATGACAACAGTCATGCCTCATGGTGACAACAGTCATAGTATGGTCGGGCCCTTAAATTCTGAGAATAAACTATGGGCGACATTCTTACAATTCCTTTACAATTTTGCTAGAACACCTCTTCTTTAAATTCATGATATTCATTAATCGTTGCTCAGTAGTCATGAGTTAAACATACAATTAACAGGTAATTGGGGACCAGTCGTACGTGACGTGGAAATAGAGTGGGATCTTGAGTCGACACCTTTAGAAATTAGCACTAATAGTGAGCTGGGGAGCGGCGATAAGGTGAGAGTGTACTTCCACTCAGCTGACGGAGGGATTGTAGGATCACTCTGGCTCAACTTCCTCTCTACTGTACAATACAGCCTCGGCTGGTGTCTTTCCCCAATGGCTTTAATCTATTTTATTCTACGTTTTAGTAGAAACAAATTATTACTCTTATAACAAAACATAATAGAGTTTTGCTTATCCAATTGTTTTATGTTTGCATATACTTTCAACACTACTATATAACAAATAATTTGAGGTATCGAATTATTACAAAGCAGTTGTTTAGTTTTTTTAAGAACTGACAATTTGTCATTTTGTCTTTCGGTCCTTGATCTTTGTAGCAGGGTGTTTAACATGGAAAAGATGGAGTTGGACCTGAAAATGATGGAGGAACAATTGGAAAAGATAAACTGCACTTCACTGAAGTGTTAAAGGTAAGAAAGATGATAAAGATAATAAGATTAAGATAACTATTGAATCCGCGGCTAGTGGGGACCTTTTAGGTTCATTTTCCAAACCAGACATGCTTGTCGTTATCCAGGATATTTACACTTTCTCTAAAAATGCTCTTCAACTAACAAAAACTGTTCTAGGAACAAAACAAGCCACAACTTCTACCAAACAGGAATCTCCAGATTTCAAAGAAATTATAAAGACACAGCTCAAAGAGGTACTAGCAGAAGTACTCCCTACAATACTACCCGATTTATTGACTTCAGTGGTGGCAACACTACCCAAAGAAAAGAAGACTCAAGAAGAAATGAAGCTCGCAGAAAAACACATTCTCACAGTGGAGAAAAAGACTGGGAGTTCTGAAGAACCCATTACAAAGGAGGATGAAAAGGAAATGAAAGGTTCCCTTAAAGTCAACCCAGTGAAGAACTATACAGTGTCCGGAAATACTGCAACTTTCAAGTTTGTGACCAGGGATCAACTTCAGAAAGCTGAGACAGTATTTAAATCTCAAGATAAATACAAAGTATCATCAAAATCTGAACCAGGAAAGAAGTTGGACCCCAAATTGTCTATTCGGAATATTCCCTCTGACATCACAAACAAGGAGACATTGCTAGAGAAACTTTTGGAAAAGAATGAAATACTGAAGTCCTCTTCTGGAAAAGACGATGCAGTAAAAGTGGTTTTCTTTGATGAGATTGAGAAATCGGCTGTCATCCGTGTCACTGCAGCAATGCGTGAGTTAATCAGACAAAACAGAGACTATATACACATTGACCTCAGGGAACACCATGTCACAGACCGAATTCATGTCATTCAATGTTATCATTGCCAGGAATTTGGTCACATGGCCAATTCCATGTACTGTAAAGCCAAAGATAAAGACCCAACATGTTTCTTCTGTGCAGGAAGCCACAAGTCGAAAGATTGTAATAACAAGAGTGAAAGTAGTAGTAGTAGTAAATCTTTCAAAGTACGAAATATCTCTTTAAAAGAGCATCCTAGGCACCTTATAGATATCAAAACGCATAAAAAAGAAAACAAAAACATCAACCATCTTCTAACTTCTTCCACTCCTCCCTATCTAAAGCTAAAAATCTAAGGTCTTCGAAATCAGTCAAATTCTTAAGTCTAATATCAAGATTTCTACTAGTCAAGTCTTTTCTAATAACATCTAATAAGTTTAAACATGGTCTACCCCGTCTCCCTTCCATAAAAATATCAGAATTTATAGCAAATAACATAGAGGTGTATGCTGGTGAGTCTTCCTGTCCTCTTAAGATATGTCCTAACATTCTCCATCGAAACTTAGAGACTCTCACAGACAAGGGAGTGCCATAACAACGAGCATAGAGTGCCTCATTAGAAATAACCCCAGTAGGCCATCTGATGTTGAGGATTCTTCGGAGGTGTTTGCGATGAGCAATATCAAGTTCATTCAACGAAGCTAGTGGTGCAGCCCAGGAGTTGCAGTTGTAGAGTAGAATAGAGACTACTTGTGCCTCGTAGATTTTGATCTTTCTTTGGACTGAAATCTTGCTCTTCATCCAAACTTTCTGAAATTTACTAAAGGCAACATTACCAAGGAATATTCGATTCTTGATATCCTTAACAGTGCACATCAACGATCCTAAAGTTTTGTTAGAGCGCCACTCTTCATCACCTCTATACACTTTGCCAACAATCACCTTGCGTTTAACAGTGGGTTTAGGATCTGCTAAATAAAAATGGACAAATTCAGTCTTGGAAGAATTGATATGAAGGTCCCACTGCTGGAATATATCTTTAGCGATAGGAAGCATTTCTTTGAGTGGAGCAAGTTCAGTGTTATTAAAGTCAATATCATCAGAGTATCCTGTTTCGAGTGGCATGAATTCTTCTGAGATAGGAGGATTAGGGATTGGATGATTCACTGGGTAAGGTGTTGATGATACTTGGGAGAGTACAGATCTGAGGTGAATAAGTGCAGCGGCTTCAACAACAGTAAATAGATTACCTGATAGTGCATCTCCTTGAAATGCTCCAGTTGTGCTTTGGAACTCGATTGATACAGTATTATTGACTTTTACTTTCAACACTGTGTTTGATAGTAGGAGCCGTACCATCCTAATTTCATCACTAGTACAGCCAGCATCTTCAAGAACATTGAGTACTGTTTCTCTGCTGATGGTGTCAAAGGCACTTGACATGTCTATACTCATTCTGTGGTAGCTCCAATGCTTTCTAAGTACCACTGAGGTTAGCATACGTTGAGACCAAATTATGTCGCCACAACTTCTGCCTCTCTTGTAAGCACTTTGTGTAGGACCGGTGTACTGATCTAGCTTGCCTTGGATACGTTTTAGGGTAATCATTGACAGTAATTTTCACAAGAGTGAAAATAATGTAAAAAAGATAAAGTGCTCTAACTGCGCCAAAAGTAGTAAACACTCGGAGAAGAACTCAGCAAAGACCCATAAAGCCTCTGATAACCTATGTCCCTCGTATGTAAGAGAACGGACTGGAATAATGAATAGAACAGCAGGATGTGAGAATGCAAAAAACTGGTACATACAGAAGACAAAGGAGACCAAACTACGCCTAGGAAGAGTTTAAGGATTGGAACGTTCAATGTTAGATCCCTAGTGAACAAAACAGTCGGAGTGTTAGAGCATCTTCAAGAAGTTGATTGTGACATCTGTTTTGTACAAGAAACCTTCTTTCGTGATAGAAACACAGCTAAGATAAAGGAGATCAAAGACCTTGGTTGGAATATACTCTCGGATCCAAGAAAACACAGAGGAGGAGGAGGTATAGCTATGCTATTTCGTGATGTGCTCCAGTTAAAGTGTAATAGTAAGGTCATGAAGTACAAATCCTTCCAAGTGATGGAATCACTGCTACAATCTCAACAAGATATTGTGAGACTTGTGAACTTGTATCGGCCTCCTTATACCAAGAAGGCTCGGTACACGGAGTGTGCCTTTTTAGAAGAATTCGAAGACTACCTTAAAGACCTCACAGTCAAACCTGGCTTCCCCATCATTGCTGGAGATTTCAACTTTCACATGGAAAAGCCTGAAGAACACTACCCAAAGAAGCTCTACCAACTCCTGGAGGAGTATGATCTATACCAACACGTTCCCCTTGAACCAACCCATGACCAAGGTGGAACCCTAGATCTTGTTGTGACTAACCGATCCTTCAAGGAAAAACTGACTTCATTCGAAATCTGTCCCTCTAGAACCAAATCTGACCACTTCCTTGTCCTCTTCGATGCAGACATCAAGACAAAGACCAAAGAAGACGCAAAATTCATGAACTACAGAAACTTTAATTTAATTGATACAGAACAGTTTAAAGAAGATATTTTAATTTCAAAACTGACAAACTTCCCTAAAGACATGTCTCCGAATGATGCCGTTGTCCTTTACAACACCGTGCTCACTCAGTTAATGGATAAACATTGTCCCTACATAAAAAAGAAGATTACTAAGAAGCCAATGCCTTGGTTAGACCTGGAACTTCGTATTCTCAGGCGAAAGAGAAGAACTGCTGAACGTGCGTGGAGAAAAGATAAAGTTGATGATATAGACAGTGCAAGATCTGAGTACCTGAGATCGGATTATGTTAAGCTAAGAGATGAGTTTTCCCGACTAGAGTTTGTCAAAAGATGCGCTCACCACAAAACCTCTCTTAGGTCCTCTTCAGGGGATACTAAAGCGTTGTACAAAAAAGTCAACAGGCTGAAAAGGTTGCAACCATCAGACAAGCCATTGAGAAGGAAGGAAAAGACAAAGACAAAAACAAAGACAAAAACAAAGACAAAGACAAAGACAAAGACAAAGACAAAGACAAAGACAAAGACAAAGACAAAGACAAAGACAAAGACAAAGACAAAGACAAAGACAAAGACAAAGACAAAGACAAAGACAAAGACAAAGACAAAGACAAAGACAAAGACAAAGACAAAGACAAAGACAAAGACAAAGACAAAGACAAAGACAAAGACAAAGACAAAGACAAAGACAAAGACAAAGACAAAGACAAAGACAAAGACAAAGACAAAGACAAAGACAAAGACAAAGACAAAGACAAAGACAAAGACAAAGACAAAGACAAAGACAAAGACAAAGACAAAGACAAAGACAAAGACAAAGACAAAGACAAAGACAAAGACAAAGACAAAGACAAAGACAAAGACAAAGACAAAGACAAAGACAAAAGCAAAGATATAAAAAAAGACAAAGACAAAGATGTAAACAAAGACAAAGACAAAGATGTAAACAAAGACAAAGACAAAGACAAAGACAAAGATAAAGACAAAGACAAAGACAAAGACAAAGACAAAGATATAGACAAAGACAAAGACAAAGACAAAGACAAAGACAAAGACAAAGACAAAGACAAAGACAAAGACAAAGACAAAGACAAAGACAAAGACAAAGACAAAGACAAAGACAAAGACAAAGACAAAGACAAAGACAAAGACAAAGACAAAGACAAAGACAAAGACAAAGACAAAGACAAAGACAAAGACAAAGACAAAGACAAAGACAAAGACAAAGACAAAGACAAAGACAAAGACAAAGACAAAGACAAAGACAAAGACAAAGACAAAGACAAAGACAAAGACAAAGACAAAGACAAAGACAAAGATCCTGTTCTGATAAAGACTGCATCTTTGATAATTTCTCTGAGATAACAGCTGATGAACTCAAAGACCTGGTATCAAAGATGTCCAACAAGTTCTGCTGCTTGAATCCGATCCCAGCATTTCTCTTAAAAAACTGTGTCGATGAACTAACACCTTTTTTACTT